TAGTCTTACACTGCTAAATTAGGGACGGCTAGCGCAGATAGCCCTCGTGTAGCTTTGCGCGAAATTCAAAACAAACAAACAAACAAACATACTCATAACAGCCAGTGGCTACACTTTAAAACACTATATCAAAGTAGTTTAACAAATATTTTATTTTAAAAAAACTTGTACAATTACTTCTGACTTCCATTTACATTATATTCACATATTCCGAATTAAGAATTCCAATTTTTTAATTGGAACTAATTATCATGCTCTAAACCATCTTCTTAAAATAAAAACTATTAATAATCCATCATATCACTTATCTATGCGAGAAATCTGATTATTAGTTGACTAAACCGCAGGCCAGCTTTAAGACTAATAAGTCGTAACATAGTTATCTAGATACGTCTCAGGTGTGTATGAAATTGGAAGTGAAAGGTGCAAAATTTGGCTTTTTTAATTACAAATAAAATCATTTATGTATAATAATAAAAGAGACTGTTTCTCTGTGTGTGACTACCATAGTTCCAGGAGAAAAGAACCTAAAGATTTGAAACTTTGTATGCATTATAAGGTGGTTCAGAGGGTGTACACCTGGGTATTGTTTTTATTTGACTCGAAAAAAATGTTAGACAATTTTTTGCTCTTAAGCCCCATAATTCTGCTTGCTGAAGATCCATAGAAAAGTATCATTTATTTTTAATTCTTACTTACTGAATGAACAATATGGGCAGGTCTACCATATACTCTTTTGTTTTCTTCAACACAAATATGGGAAGAAAAATACAAATCTGAGAATTAAAAAAAGTTGAACTAAGTTTAGGAAACGGCCAGAAAAATGTGAATCGGATAAAATTGGAAATAATTCAAATAAAAGCAGGAAGAAAACACTAATCTGAGAAACTATTTGCTTTCAGAAAGAGTTGAATTAAGTTCTGAAAATTGCAACAGACAAATCAATTAAAGAATTGGGGTAGCTATAGGAATAATTAAGATAATGGAGACGCTTGAGTGGTACGTTGAGGCCTCTGTGAATCATGAGGGGACCTTAGAATCTCGCAACGGAGCGTGGGTATTTTATGTTAGTAATAAATAAATGACAGAGATTTACCGCATTTTTTTAAATTTAGTCTTTCAAGAGCTTGTCATGACGTGGGAAGCTAGGCCTACCTGATTAGAAAAGTACCCGTTCGCGCCTATTCCTATAATAAAAACACTGCACGTATATTTGAAATAGTTATAATATTGTGTTTACAAAGAAGCACAGTCATTTTGAATTATGTTTGGGTAAAAATCCTGAAAAGCTAGTTAGGAACATTTAAAATGCATGTTGTTATTTTATTCTTATAATTTGACTTTATTTCAAGGGGAAATAACAATGTTTTCTAAAACGGATTTTACAAATGGCCGACATACAATATAACAAACTGCATTCAGAACGGTAAGTCTCCAGATTTACAATGCTAAAATCAGGGGTTCGATTCCTCTCGGGGGACACAGCAGATATCCCGATGTGGCTTTGCTATAAGAAAAACATTCAGAATGATGCGTTGTTTTATACAAGTTGTTGATGAAACCACATATATAACTAGAAAACTTAAATATCTATGTTGATCGCATGCTACAGTGTAAATATCTATGTTGACCGCACGCTATAGTGTAAATATCTGTGTAGACCGCACGCTATAGTGTAAATATCTGTATAGACTGCACGCTATAGTGTAAATATCTGTGTAGACCGCACGCTATAGTGTAAATATCTGGGTAGATCACACGCTATAGTATAAATATCTGTGTAGAATGCACGCTTTGGTATAAATATCTCTGTAGACTGCATGCTGTAGTGTAAATATCTGTGTACATAATAATATAAATATCTGTGTAGACTGCACGCTATAGTGTAAATATCTGTATAGACTGCATGCTATAGTGTAAATATCTGTATAGACTGCATGCTATAGTGTAAATATCTGTGTAGACCACACGCTATAGTGTAAATATCTGTGTAGACTGCATGCTATAGTGTAAATATCTGTGTAAACTGCATGCTATACTGTAAATATCTGTGTAGACTGCATGCTATAGTGTAGATATCTGTGTAAACTGCATGCTATACTGTAAATATCTGTGTAGACTGCATGCTATAGTGTAGATATCTGTGTAGACCACATGCTATAGTGTAAATATCTGTGTAGACTGCATGCTATAGTGTAAATATCTGTGTAGACCACA